TCTGACAATGTGAACACACACACACACAGACACAGACACTCAGACACTTAAGTCACAACATAAACACATTGTAATCAACTCATAAGATCAATAATAATAATAATAACAGTAGGTCTATTCTTCACAATGTCTAAATAATGTACAGGTTTTTTAAGTGTTGGTTTGCACAGATTTAATTGATTTCAGGATTTCATCATGAAATGGCATCGGAAGACAAACAGTCCTAGTTTGGAATTCTTCAACAGTACGAACCCCTTGCCTACAGTTTGATCCTAGGACCTTCTGGTTACAAGACGAGCTAACTAGTAAACCATTAAACAGCCACTGGGACGTGATCCAATGGCCAACGACCATGAATTCCAACTTCTGCCAATTGACGATATATAGAGACACCACTAGCTAGTGTCATCGGTTAGTACTTTTCCTTACAGCCAACCTGCTGTACACCAATAGTCACGACTTTCCACTAGAATTTCAGGTAACTGATTACCTGATTATGGTGAGTTACTAGTCAGCATCAGACGGATATTGAAGTGTTGTTTTGCTGGGTGGGACTCGCTAGTGATCACGCCATATCATGATGTGCGTCGGTGGCACAGTGGTTAGGACTCTCGCCGACCATGCACATGGTCCGAGGTTCGATACCTTGCTGACGCACACCTGATATCTATGGTCGGCCTGCGAATTTTGGGCTACCGATATCCACGCTGAAAATTCCACACTTGTACCAAAAATACAGTGTGGAATCAAGCTGTAATCAAAAAAAAAAATAAAATGTATATTGGTAGAAGTTGGAATTCATGGTTGCTGGTCATTGGATCAAATCCCAGTGGTTGCTTAATGGTCTACTAGTTAACTCATCTTGTAACCAGAAGTTCCTGGATTCGGACTCTGACGATGGGTGCTATCGCATGAAGAGTCCAAAACTAGGACGATATGAACAGTTGTTCAGTACTCCCAGGTTTTCTAATAGATCCCTAACCGATGTCAGTTCATGATGAAATCTAGATACCGGATTTTCAGCAGAATTTATTGCACAATATTTGCTCTTCGTCTAAGATCTTTAAGTAAAATACTAACTGACAGTCAATTGTGTGTGTGTGTGTGTGTGTATGTTACGCAACTGCTTTTTAACACGTAGAACAAATCAATATCTAATGATATTGTCTTTTCATCTCCTGAGAGATATAAATGCACGATATATATATATATATAAACCACACAATGATTTTACGGTAGTTTCTCAGAAATTTATACAGTCCAATTTCGGCACCCTATCAACTGACTCACTCCTCGAAAAACACTGCTAGAAAGGACAGTAAGCTCCGTAAAAAGTTAAAGCTTTGGCATGGATGGGGATAGCAAATCCATCCATCCATCCATCCCTCTACCCATCCACCCCTATCCCACAGAAAAGAAAAAATCATCACTACTGAAAATTTTCAAAGCTCAAACTTGAAAGCTGTTACTTTGTGCGTCAGTGGCACAACGGTTAGAACGCTCACCGACCATTCCACATGTGGCTCAGGGTTCAGCACTCTGGCCACAGACGACTCACTCCTTTACCTTGCTAAGTCAGTAATAATTAAAAAAAAGCTGGTAAAGAGGATAGGTTGGGTATGAGGCTGGCTAGCAAACCCATCCTATTAAGAAAATAAACTGATTAAAAGTGCCCATTAAAATTTTCAAAAGAATGAATACTGAACAAAGAATAAACACTCTTTTCGATAACCCCTTCATCATCAGGCTTTACAGTTATATATACATTATAGTGAATGAATGAATTAGTGTTATGAACAACATTAATGTTGCTGTTTAAATAAAATTGAATCAATAATATGGAAAGATTACAGCTAAATCGCATCAACATAAAATAAGATGAATATCAGAAGAATTAGGAAGGATAATATTACAAATTCATGAGTTTATAGTTTCTACTGAAGGCTAGTCAGGGCAGTAGTAGGGGCTGGGATTGCTTCTTTTGAACACAGAGCACTGGTTCTGTGAGGCGAATCACAATAGCCTCTGGTGTTTGGAGTCTGGGGTGTTTCAATGCTTTTGGTAATTTATTTGGCACCCGGTATAATATAGAGAAGGATTCATGTACACTGGCTTTGTGGCCAGATGTTCCAATATCGAACTGTTAATGATAGTTTTCACTACACCTTTACTTAGCCATGCTGGGAGATGTTCTCGAGTGAGCACGTAAAATCAAGTTCCTAGAGCAACGGCCAATATAAAAGTATTCCTTCCTGGGTTTCACAAGATAAGTAATGTTGACGTTAGGCGTAGGGTGTTGGGCAAAGAGGGAAAATCAATCGACGAGGCTATAAAGTTACATAGACTAAGATGGCTAGGTCACGTGCTGCGCATGCCTAACCATCGCCTCCCCCGACGGGCATTGCTAGCTGACATAGGTTCAGGTTGGAAAAGAGCCAGTGGTGGCCAAACAAAAACATGGCATCAATCCATGAAATCCTTGACAGTTAAACTGAGTCAGGTAGGGAGATGCAGACTCCCGGGTTGGGGCCCTCGGGACTCTAGGAATCAATGGCTGGAGACAATAGGTGACATGGCTCAAAATCGTTGTCAATGGCCAGCGGAGATGTATTCAGTCTCTGTAATCTTTCATATTCCTTCCTACCATTACCCATTCTGTTTCACTCTCATACTTGTCAAACTCTATTGATTCTCTCCACTCATCTTCTTGTCTACCTGTGTGCTATTTGGAACGTGGCAACTCGAACTGCTGCACTTCGGTGCCAAGTTCTATGTTGAATCCAGATAGACAGACAGAAATAACTGGCTCCACAAGCGCAGTTGAATTGATAGATACAATTTGAAGTGACTAGTCTAAGTACTGGCTGGCTAACAACCCCCTTCCCATTAAAAAAATAAACACCACTGCTACAGAAACTTCAAGTCTTCTTCTAGCTTGAAGCCCCCTGTGTAGTTCCACTGGGAACGTGTAAGAATAAGAAGAAACTCATACTTGAAATAGTAAGATAAAAAAAAGTATCCTTTCGAAAATATTAACAAGAAGCAATCATAAGTAAATGTTGCAACATAAAATATATATTTATTGCTTTCGTTGCCTTGTCAACAGACTAGCGAATGACATCGTAACATTTTTTTAGGTCTCTAAGAAATACATTTGAAACCAGTTGAAATGAAAGAAAGAAAAAATCCGAAAAATAAGACGAATTCAGGCCTACTATACGAATCAGAGAATTGAAGACTGCAGTACAGAGAAGTACAGAAGCAGAAGCCCTCAGAATATACATTGAGAAGTCGGAGCTGTGTGTCTGGAAGAAATTAGTCCAACCTCTATAACTACTATGGACCTAGTTCAGTATGTTCCCTTAACTTCCGTTTCTTATCTTTCTTTTCTTCTTTCGTTCTCTTTTTTCTTTTTGATCTTTTTTCGTTCGCTGTGTGTGTGTGTGTGTGTGTGTGGTTCTTACTTCCTCTGTCTTCATTCGATTCAACCCATTTTTTTTCAGTTATAAAAGTCAGAGACTTGGCGCTGCACCACGCCGCGTTGGGTCACGAAGGTCGCTTCGAACAAACTACAGACCTTTATCAACAGCTTAATATTAGTCAAAATCAAATAGCCGGCGGGCCAGAAAATATCACCAATGGAGAGGGAAGGATCTCTAGCAATGAACGAACCAACTAACCCAGCTGTAAGAAATCCAGTTAGTGGATTCTCCATGCTCTGAGAAAACAAACCATCATCAAGTGAGTGACATCCATCACATGTCAGGCCATCGCTCCAGTGGAATCCGTCCGAATAGGAAGCGAGCGGCGAGTCAATTGGTCGTCAGTGCGAGGGTAACATGAAAGAGGAGATATTGAAAGGATGTGGACAGACGTGGTGACGAGCCAGATGATGAAAACATTGGTGGACAAACGAAGACAATGGAGACGTTCTACTGAAGCCGTATGTTTCACTAGGAATTAAAGGAAATAATAACAAATAAATAATAAAATCGAATTTCTAAATAGACACTCGAAATGATTTTTTCACATTTGAAGTCAAGACTTGAAGTAGAGTGGGAGTAAATTTTGAAATCAGAATGCCTGTCGTAAACTTAAAGGTTGATGTGCTAGAGGATTTCATCATGAGTTGTTATCAGTTATCAGAACCATTAGAAAACCTACCAGCGAATACTGGACAGCTGTTCATATCGTCCGCCTATAGTTTGTGACTCTTCACCGTACGCACTTAGGGCCACCTGGCTCGTAGACCATTAAGCCAACAATCTCTTTGGGATCCAATCCAGTAGTGGCCAGTCGTCAGCCCATGAATTCGAACTTCTGCCAAACCCCAGTCAGTAACACTGTCCTCATTTTCAACCTGTTGTACCCTAACTGGTCATAGCATCCCACTAGAAAGAAACCCATGGTTAAGTATTGGTTTTTGTAGGAAATTTGGGTTTCACTTTTTGGAGCCAGCAGTTGAACCATATCTCAACTCTATCTATCAAATGACATCACAAATATAAGCTCATCATCACCAAATAAAACAAGATTGTAGCTAACAATCACAAACTAACAAGCAATGGACATGATAACATCATAGTCAATATAGAAAAACAACTCTAGGCTACCATCACCACCACCACCACCATCAACCTTACAGTGAACAACCAACATACTAACATGAATACGATTGGTTAGACCTGTCTAGCCAATCACACTACATAGGTCTTGGTAACACGACTACATTATAAACATTATTCACTTCAAAACTGAAATAGACACATACACACACATACATACTTACACAAATCTGATTGGTTCTTAAAAAAGTCATAAATTGACTAACAGAAAAAAAATTGGTTAAGGTTCCTGTGTTATCTTTATATTGCCTTTTTTGCTATTGGTTATTTACTGACCCGACTAGGTATTGAAGAATTTAACGCATTGATCTGTGAATGGTTGAATTAAAAATATAAAAAAAAAATATACACAGATACTGGTGGTGGTGATGAGGTGATGTTGCTTATATATATATAAAATAGAAAGGGGTAGAATGTTTTTCAAATTCATGCGTTAGAGGATGTGTGTGTTGTTTTTGTAACTCTCTCAGGAGTAGTGTCATTTAAACAGTAGGGACGTTCGAGTACACATCGTAATATACACTCTTGGATTATTTATTGTATTCATATATATTACCGGATTATTTACTGTGGAGAAATAATAATAATAATAATTGGAACTTTATGGTTTAATTCAAAAAAATATTTCAACAAACACTTTTGTGAATACTGATCATTGTGGATTATATCTCTATATATTTATATACTTGTATATACATCATATATTGACTATTTATTGAGTGGATCATTATGCATAAAGGTCGATCACGTACCTCTGATGTATACAGAGTTGAACATCTTGTGGATAAACGAATACGTGGGGTAAGTATTGATTCGGTATTGGTTGATTTCTAGAGAGAGTCATGATATATGTATATATACACATGTAATATTAGGATAATCTTATGGCTGACGGTGACTCCAAACTATAGCAGCCCAATACCTGACTATGAAGACTTCTATGAGAAACTGGGAGGGTTGTTTATCGAACATATACTTTTTTTTTAAAACATTCCATTACTTGTATGCAGAGACGTTTGTTTATTTCCAATTGTGCACTTCTACTTCGTACACATCTGATTGGCAGCTAGAGGTAGTTTCGTTTTGGGCCGCTATAGTTTAAAGTCACCTACTTGACTAGTGCCTATGGTATTACATCACATTATCAGAAGTTGAGTTTCTTTTCCACACTTTTTGTGAAATAAAATCTGACCAGCAGGTCACATGATTTTTGTAAAACTGAGACATTGATGTCATCTGTAATTCCATAGTACTACTATATAGGTTATGTCATATATCAGCGTAGATCTTTCTATTACAAAATGGAATAGGCTTCAGCCATTACAAATTCTTCGTCTTTGTTAAACTATAGTAACCATTTCGACCATTCACTCAAGACAGGGGATTGTGGTGTTTTGTAATCTGTTTAAACTTTGAACTCTCTTCTTTAATCTACCTTATGATGTCAACCTTCCCAGATGTAACAAGCATTCTGTTAAACATCCTTCGCACATGTATGCTTGATAATCTGCAGCTGTTAATCCATGATTTAAATAGTTGATCTCCTTGAAACCTATTAAGCCTATTCAAAGCCGATGGCAGAATTTGATTTCGTTGTATCACCTGCATATATCTCTCTCTCCCCCTAATTAAAGGTTATGTATCGGAGTGACTTATTTGTGTAAACCTATATTCGCCTTTACTAGTTACTATAAGATGAATTCATTGATGGTGTGAAGGGGCATTCACCCTCAGGCATTATTCACCTCAACAGTTTTAGATAACTGATGTGAAACCACTAACCCTTGAGAAAATCCAATCCCTTTTAGTTCCATCTTCACATGTAATCAGGTCATACTGAAGTCAACGACTCAACCTTCATTCACTGTGTTTTGAAGTCAAATTCTGCGTTTTTCTATTTCATGACCGTATTAAACGTTAAAATACATAAACTGTTCGGCCAACAGCGACCAACTGGGTGGTAGCTATAGGAATAGTGTCATCAGGCATGACACGATAATTACGGTCGATATCCACCTAGTACAATGAAAGCCTAGTTAAAATCTGGTCACTAAAAGATTCCCACCTTAGTAACAAGTCATTTTCGCCTATATTATAAGTGTTTTCTAACTGAAACATTAAGAAATATTATTAGATAGAAAAATAACAATTCTACAATTTTTGATATGCTTACTTAAATCTTCTCATATTTGACTTGATTAGCTGTGTGAGTTAATCTGACTTTTCGTTTTTTCGTGGGTTTTTTCTTTTTTCAGAATCGTACAGAATATCTAGTTAAATGGAAAAATTGGTCTGATGAGTAAGTTGCTAGGTTTTAATTTTGCATATATATACACACAAACCTTATCATATTTTTTAAATTTCTACATATAATAATATTTATTCTCATTTTATCGTTAATAATCCAACTAACACTGAATTCCTTGATCTTGAATTTCAATCGTCAGCTTACAACAATTTATTTAGTTTTTGGTTATTGAGAAAACTTATAACTTATCGTAAGAATAATTTCTAAGCTAAAATGCATGCAGTATTCTGACTGTCTGCCCTCGTCTCTCTATATTACTATATACAAAACTAACCAAATAGCAAGCTTTCTAGCTATCTGGTCGATACTTTTTTCTGATTGGTTAATTTCGCCTATGCATTGATCTATTTTGGCGACCTTCATGTATGCCTGATTTTTTCTATCCTTAGATATATATATTCTAGTTTGACCTTACGGCCTAGCCTAGAAAATAAGAAATGAACTAGTCTCTAGTGTTATATGTATACATACATAAGACAGAATGACCTTGGGTGTGCTTTTTTTGTATTTTCAAATACAGCTGTTTTCATGGTGTGTTCATGCTTGCTTAGCATGAATTATATATGTTAACTTTTTAGAAGATCAGATCCTGTCTAACTAAAATGACCCATTCATTTTTTATTGTCGCCTGTTAAAATCAGATTAACTGTAGACTGTTTGTAGAAAACACGGCATTTTACAGAAAGGGTTAGAGAAAAATTGGAACTAGGCAGCTGCATTGTCTTGTAACCTAAGTCAATAATGTATTCATTCATGTACCTACGGCCATATCGCTCATAAACAATATGTATAGTTTAGTGAGATCGGGCTAAAATACAATTTTTAAAAAAATATTTCTCACCATAATCTAAAATATTGATCTATAGATCTATTGATCTTTATACTTAATAATCTTCGTGATGTTTGCTATAGTAATGGTTAAAAAATCGTTGGCATTTTCGATACTTGTTAAAACGATGATTTAAATGTCTGATTGCCAACTGATCTGTAGAAAAATAAAGGTCAACTCTCAGGCTTTATTTTTGGGCTAAGTTGGCCATAAACCTAAATCAGAATAGCGTCCATTGATGAGGTTCGTCATCAGTCAAGTTGCGTAACAGATATTTCTTATATCTTACTGCTGTATTTACATTATGAATACCCTTAAGGCGTGTGTAGCAGTCAATAAATCAAATCCTTACGAATCAACTTTTGAAGTGAATCTGATGCTCGCTAGTGACTTGCTACAGAACGGAGCTCCCTGGTGTCAGTTCTAGTGAGAAGTCGTGACCAGTGAAGTGCACCCAGTCAATTGTGTGAGGATGGAGTTCCCACCGATTGGTTGGTGCCAGTCGCACTGAATGCATCACGAATTGGCAGAATTTAGAATTCATGAGCCGGCTATAGAATCGGGTCAGGTGCCAATGTCTGAATGGTGTACGAACCTACTTGTTTTGTAGCCGTGAGGTCCTGGATTCTAACAGTCTGTATGTATTTTTTTTGACATAGAACTTTGCACCGATGTGCAGCAGTTCAAGTCGCCTCACACCATGTAGCACACAAAGCAAGAGAAAAAATTTTTATTGGGTATTATCAGTCACAAGGAGTGGATGCATTTGCCTTAGCCACTGAGAACGATTTTGAGCCATATCACTGATTGCCTACAGCCATTGATTTTACCATCCTGAGGACCCCAACTATAAAGTCTGCATTTTATTATATGTGTAAGACTTGGGCATTGTGGTATTAAGTAATTCCATATTAGTTTGATTATTAAATGTATCACACAGTGAAACAGTAATGTATACTGGATGACGTTTCGAACACAATTTATTGTTCATAATCATAACAATTTTTCACTGTTTCACTGTGTGATACATTTAATAATCAAACTAATATGGAATTATAAAGTCTGCGCCTCACTACGTGACTGGCTGGCTTAAACTAACTATTGTAGATTTCATTGACTAGTGAAGGCATGTTTTGGTTTTGACCACCACTGGCTCTTATCCAACCAGACCCTATGTCAGCTAAGTTTGACCATCAAGGAAGGTGATCGCTAGGGATGCATCCTTAAAACATGTCCTATCCACCTCAATCGATGTAGCTTCACAACGGCGTCGATTGATTTCCCCTCCTTACCTGGTACTCGACGCTTAACCTCAATATTGCTCACCCTATTATACTACGTAACACGGGAGATAGAACGTAGGTACCTATGATCAAAGACAGTTAGTCTTTTCATGTCTTCCACTTTCAATGGCCAGGTTTCACAGCTATAAAGGAGGACGGGGTGGACTTCTGAGCAGTACAGACGCCCTTTGGTCGATTGCCGGATTCGAACAGTGGCTGTGGGTGCGTCCTATCTATAAGTCCCGAAGAAGAAGAAACAGAATGAAACAGCCTGCTGTGAAGTACTCCCTGTTGGGTTTTCAGTGATTCTCTAGCTAATATCGGTCCGTCGTAAAACTCGAAAAACAAATCTGTTTGAGTCTATTGACCGAGAAACGAACTCCGCCCATGCTTGGCATGGTTGGTGACTATCTTACCGACGCCTTCATACAATATTCGCTGAAGTTTGAAGCATAATGAAACGAACGCTGAGCCCAAGAACGCAGTCTAACTACTTCGACTAGTATACGATTGTTCAGCAATACTAAGCTGTGTTTGAAGTGGCTTTCCTTGGTACCAGGTTTTTCGTGTACCAAAGTAAGGACCAGTCTTGTCGCGAGTGTCTATGTATGCTGATGATACTACCAAGTTGTCTAGACTAAATTTGATGGAGTGAGACACGTACCTATGACACACTAGTTTCACACTGACTGGGTGTTTTTACATTAGTTATCAAGAGGAGCCTAAAGACACTCCTCCTGGCCTTTTGGAAAACTAGGCAGTATCATCATGTAGCTCAGTCACTTGGGTTTCCCCTCTCCTTAAGGACAAAGCACTTAGACTTTAGAACTGTATAGTTTAATGAATTTTAACTTATTGATGGCAAATTAACACACTGCACATTGCGTTAGTTATCAGTTATATGATTTCCAATATTATTTTAATTGTATTTTTGATTTGTTATAGGCATAATACATGGGAACCAGCAAAAAATATATTGGATAAACGATTAATTGAATCATACGAAAGACGGTAAGTGGATCCATTTGAAAGGAATGATCAGAGTCATGTGTATGTGTCTAGTGTTTTCTGTGTTTTGGTGCTGACTTGATTCTGTCAGTTAAGTTTGCCATGTGGTCATCAAGGTAGGTAGATGATTCATCTAGGTGCTGCTCAATTTGAAGTAGGTCTCGAATCATATTTCTTAAAGCTTAGTATGTTTAGAATGAGTTTCACTCATATCAGAAGAGGCAATGGTGTAGTTTAAGGGTATATGCTGTGTGGTATTAGATCGCAACAATGATGGAGATACTGACGAATATGTCTAGATTGCTGAAGAGACATCAAAACCATCGTGTTAATGGCTTGTATTCTGGGGACCCGGTCGGAGAATCTGTATCCCGGTGTGCACATCAGATTTTTTATTATTCCTTCATGATCTCAGTGGAACATACGGCTTCAAGCTAGTGACTTGAAGTTTCGGATCGAACCCCGAGCCTCATGAGGTGTGGTCAGAGAGCATTCTACCTCTGTGCCACTGACGTACCAACACTTCGGATTATGTCACTAAGTTGAAGGTCTTTATCGTGTTTCCGTTTTATTGATTATCTTAGGTCGAAATACCGAGTCTTGGGTTGATTAATATCATGGGTGAGAAGGGGTTAGCGCTTCGACATTTGAAACGATGTGTATGTTGACTATGAGTCTCATTGTTAATGCTCCTTACAGGCTCACACATCCGTTGACGGATAAGGCACATCGTGGTGATGAGTTTGAGACTGGATGAAACACACCCATTCTAGATACCAGTGTTAGTCATTATCAACTAAGTCTGTTCAATGTTAACTAGTTGATGGACTTCCACAGACGACGTGGTATGGCAGAGAAATTCTTGCCTATGAACACACTTTCATAGTGTCTGCTAAATCAACCCCGTAGCACAGCGACTGGTTGTTCTCAAAAAAGTGAAGGTTTGGAACTGGTGGACATGCTAGTCTCCTTAACAAAGTGGAGAAATTCTTAATTTTTATTTTTGATTTACAGCTTGATTCTACACTGTAGTTTTGGTACAGAATGGAATTTTCAGCATGGATATCGGTAGCCCAAATTTTGCAGGCCGACCATAGATATCAGGTGTGCGCCGGCGTGGGCTCGAACCCCGGACCATGTGCATGGTCGGCGAGAGTCCTAACCACTGTGCCACCGACGTACAGAGGGGTTCCAGAATCCTGAATGAATATGGAATGGCAATCAGCATAATTGGGAGGGACCTGAAAGAAATAACCTCCTTCACCTACCTGGGAAGCATCGTTCCAACTACAGGCGTAACTGACGAGAAAGCAAAGCAATCTTTCATTACTCAGAAGTCTGTGTGGATGTCAACAACATTCAGCATGAAAATAAAAATAAGATCTGGATTTTCTACTCCAATGTGAAGTCAGTGCTATCTACAATACGGATCAGAGTCTTGGCGCGTCATAGAGAGCAACTCAAACAAACTACAGACCTTCATCAACAGCTGTCTTCGCTCAATACTCAGATGGTCGGCTAGAAAAGACCAGCAACATAGTGGGATCTCTGGGAGCGAACCAACCAGAAACCGACTGTGAAACAAATAGGCTGGAAGAAATGGAGATGGATCGGCCATCATCAAACGAGTGACATCCATCACACGCCAGGCCATCGCTACAGTGGAACCTGAAAGGGAAGCGGCGAGTTGTTCGTCAGTGCGAGAGTGACTTGGAGGAGGTCATGTGAAGGAAGAGGAGATGAAAGCATGTGGGTGGCAGACTTGGAGCCAGGTGAAAACGTTTGCAGAGAACCGAACGCGATGGATACGTGTGTGGCTGAAGCCCTATGTTCCTCTAAGAATTAAAGGAAATAATAACAATGAATTTGTTCTTGACACTAATGACCTCGACGACGCAGCTCCTAACACTGGTCCCACTGTCTTGTTTGTCAGACTCCAAGTCAACCGTTTGGAGACGGGGATGCCATCCGCGTAGTATCCCAGTCGTGTCTGACAAACTATGCGATTTCATGTGTAGCATACCTCATAGTGCTTATCATGCACCAAGTGTGTGATTTTATGAATAATAATTACATAGACTCATTGATATTTCTTGTTCATATGAAGTTTTATAATAATATCGAGTTTTCTTATTTCTCTCCTGATATATTTTAGAGAGAAACGTAAAAAAAATCAATTAGCATCACCATCCTCAACACCACGTGATAGAAGTCATAGTACAGAAAGTCAACGATCGCCTTTACATTCTCCAGACAGACACCACCAGCACCAACAGCAACAAGCACAACCACAACCCCAAAATGTGAAATCTGAAGAGAATTTAAATGCACACGAACCTTCATCGTCTTCGTCGCCTATTAAACCCAGTTTAACATCAATTGATCCAATCCTTTCAACATTTCTTCCATCTTCTAGTAATACTGGTAGTTGTTATTCAGACTTACCACTTACCATTAGTAGCACTAGTAGTCAATCAATAAAATCTCCACATGTCACATCAACTACCACCACATCAATTGATTCTATGCCAAGTCAATGGGAATTAAGCGATTTATGCTATGATCGTCGTTTTCGACGGACTACCCTATTAGTTGCTGCTGCATCGGCATCAGCTGCGAATGCAGCAGCAGCATTAGCGCATTCTAGGCTATCTGGAAGACAAGCACAACATTCGAGTGCAACTGGGTCGAGTAGTGCTCATACAACAACAACTACGACAACAACAATAAATACTCCTGCTTCGCCTATTACTAATACTGCCAGCAATACTAATATTATTAGTACAACCGCTAGTACAGAAAGTATTAATTCGGTAAGTGTTGTATATATATATATATATACTTTTTATTTCCTTTAATTCCTAGAGGAACATAGGGTTTCAGTCGCACGTCTCAACTGCGTTCAGTTCTCTGCTAGAGTTTTCACCTGGCTCTAAGTCTGCCACCCACATGCCTTCATTTCCTCTTCTTTCACATGACCTCCTCCAAGTCACCCTTGCACTGACGACCAACTCAACGCTTCCTTTTAGGGTTCCACTCGAGTGACGGCTTGTCTAGTGATGTCACCTGATGATGGTTTATTTTCTCATAGTATGGCCAGTCCATCTCCATTTCTTCCTGCCTATTTGTTTCACAATCGGTTCCTGCTGTGTTGGTTCACTTCCAGAGATCTCTCCATGATGCAGATCTTTTCTGGCCGATCATCTGATCTTGAGTAGTATTGAACGAAGGCAGCTGTTGATGAAAGTCTTTAGTTTGTTTGAGATACTCTTTATGACACTCCAAGTCTCTGATCGGTATAGTAGTACTGACTTCACATTAGAGTTGAAAATCCACATCTTAGTTTCAGTTTCATACTGAGTATTGCTGTTGACCTCCACACAGACTTGAGACTAATGAAAGCTTGTCTTACTTTTCCGATTCTTGCTTTGATATCCTCGTCAGTTCCGGCTGTTACTGAAACGATGCTACCCAGGTAGGTGAAGGAGGCTGTTTCTTTCAGGTCCCTCCCATTTATGGTTTCTGATTGTTGTCTGTTGTTGTTGCTGTCGCTGTAGGCCAGGAATCTTCATCACTTCTGTTTTCTCTATGTTCACCTGAAGGGAGTCCTATCTTTGATGCTTCTTCTGTCGTCAACTTGTTGCTTTTCACTTGCACATCTTCCAGTTTGTGAGAAATCAGACATATATCATTCAGATCCTCCAAGTTTTTCGTCTGAGTCCATTTTATGCCTGTATCCTCACCTTTCGATCTCTGTCTGTCGCATTATCCAATCTACTGGCCCTAGTAGTCTAGTGTATAACGCTTTGGCGTTTGAAACTATAGTCACTGGGTTCGAGCCTCGGTGGGAACATCATCACTAACTGATTGGAAAATTCAGGGACATCCAGCTGGCGGACGACTCCCAAATAGGACGAAATGCGCGGTATCCTGGATTCCATTGCTAGTCATCACCAATTAAAAATGATAAGTACTATATATATATATATATATATTATCGATTTTTAATTCAAAAAAAAACGAAAAATCGATTGTACTGTCGTCTATATGTGAATGCTTATTATTATTTTATTCTATCCATTTTAAACTGAAGTCAGTGGAGATTTGTTACTAGATCCATTAGTTGGAGCAAGTTGAATGCATTTCGTGAGAATAATTTAAGCCCATATTCTGTAAGCCGCTTGTCGTTATGTTGGCAATACGTTAACTAAATTTAAACTAATAATCATCTGTGTTTCCATGTAGAACATTGCACACATTGTACACTCTCGGAATAGTAACATAAGAACACGTGACAGCTGTTTATTGTGGATTTTGCAGATTATCAGGAGTGAATGAATGCATCTACGCACCCGTTGGGAATAATTTTGAGCCATATTACCAAAAATTTCGCATCTATTTGATTCTAAGCCTCCTCTATATGTATAGCTCCAACCGATCGTCCAAGACTTCATCGAGTGAGACCACCCGTAACATTTTCCCAACGTAATCGTATTTTAGAAGACATTACTTGACGACAAAGGCATGTGTAACATGTGTCCTAAGCATCTCAAACGATGTAGCCTCACACTCCCTCCAGTATCTCGCACTGAACCTGAATATTACTGTCATGTCATGAACATGGAAAATGGAGCACAACCGTTTATGATCTCAAGATGGTTAGTCTTCTAAAGTCTCCTATGTACGAATAGAATCATATATTGTACGCGAGGAGTACTAGTTTTTCTTTGTCTAGCCTCCCTTAATTGATTTTTTTATTGAACCGATAGGTTTGTGTTCTATTCATAGAGTTGGTTTCTTCGACAGTTCTGAAATCGATTCATGATCTAGATTATTTATCGATTTAGTCATTTATCTTTTCGGCACACTGTCTTCATATTTCAACAGTTTTATTTGTTGGCATTTGATTTGTTTCTCAAGTTTGATCATGAATCATGAATTGGTAGAAATTAGACTTCATGAGTAGGCTATTGAATCGGATTCCAGTGGTTGAATGGTCTACGAGCTTATCTTGTAACTGGAAGATCCTAGTTTCGATCCCCAGCGGTCGGTGTGTACTGGTGAAGAGTCCCAAAAAACTAGGTGGACTAGGCTGTCACTATCTTTGACCAAGTTGATCAGTCTATATTCACACAATTAGGGTGATTCATAGTCTGTTGTTATTGGCTTAGAAACTCATCTTGTCGGGTCTCGAACCCCCCTGCGCGTATTTCAGCAAGGATAACTCGGTAGGTAGGCTTCGTAAAATAAGTTTGACTTCTCGCTTACCTCTTCCAGTAAAAATGCATTCCCTTCTCCCATTTTTACACCATCCTAGTTTATTTTGTGTTCTCATCTTTCGTATTTCTCTCTCTCTCTCTTATTTCACAGACTGTCAGTTTACAATCACAATCCAAAATGCCTAAAACAGAAGCAGTAACCGCACCACTTCCAGATGAAAATATCGAAGCAAGGCCGAAAATTCGCCTAACAATCCCACGTGATCGTATCCTACCATGTCCACCAGTCGGTGTATCGAGTAACTCATCAGCCTCTTCAGCTAATAATACATCAATCAATAGTTCATCGTCATCTTCATCAAATCAATGTTTGGATGATTCTGATCATTCGATATCAATGACTGAGTCAACATCGATTCGACATGATGAAGATGTTAACAACAGTGGTGGATTATTTGTTGCCCCAGTGGAATTACCTCGACGATGTTATAATACAACAACGTCAGCCTTATCACCGCATTCCCTAATGAATCCAACAGGTGGAATGCGTTTACCTGACATACAAATAGACAATCGTAGTCATCTATACGATTATGATACGTGTAAATCACCAAAATGGAATAAACAGTTACCGTGTACAAATAATAATACTGTTTCAAGTATGATGCAACTGCCTAAATTACTTATTTCCACCTCGACAAATTTATCCTCAACCTCACCATCTACTCATGCATCAACAGTACCTTATGATTTTGTAATATCAGGAGGATCATCAGCAGCAGCGTCAAAGAAACGCAGACGACAATTTAGTTCAGAAAGTTGTCTATCCTCACCATCCCCTGCATACAGTGTCATTGTTGAACACGACATGGTGGTTAAGAAACGTAAACATTCACAAAAGAAAAAAGAAAAGCGTAAACGTCGTCATGAACAAATTTCTGACTATCAAGAACACCAACAACATCATCGTCATCATCGGGAGCATCATCATCATCATCATCAAGGTAAAAGTGGATATTCGTCATCTTTTGAAGATTATAACGTTTTAAGCATGAATAAGATTCGTCGACGTAGTGGTTCCTCATCAGCATCGCATACCTCATCTACCTCATCTTCCTGCTCATCTTCGGCGTCCTCTTCATCGACATCCTCTTTATCACCAACAGTCCTGTCGAATACAATATCACCTAATCAAGATGAAGGATTTCCTCGACTAGCTCCTTTACGTATACATTTGCCTAGATCCATTACTTCACAGTTATCTGCACCAGAGTCTTGTATAGATAATAATAATAATAGTCGATCATTTATTGATCATACAATCACTGGTGGTAGTGGTGGTCAACGATTAGCATTTTGTGGAATGAATTACAAGAGTACTCATACAACTAATAATAATAATAGTAATAACAGTAATAATAGTGTTGTCATTGATCATAATAGTAATACAAGTCATATTCAAATAAATCATTCAACTAAACGAATACATTTAGTACCAGAAATGTGTATTACAGATATTACAGTGAATGGTTTAACAATAAGTATTAAAGAATGTAGTGGACCCAGAAACTTTTTTGGTATACCAACTAGTCAACTTGTTCAGTGTAACTCCGCATCGTCGATAAAGAAGGCTGAAGATACTTCCAGTGGTGATGAGTATACCACACCACCGACAACAACAACGACAACAACTAGTAGTACTTCAACAACCACAACGATAACAACGACGAGTTCATCAGCTGCCGCCGCTGATGGTGCTTCTACGTTGAATAATACAACTTCATCATCGAACACATCGCCGACAACAAATAATTCGAATTCATCGACACGTACTGTTAAACCATTATGTGTTAGTTTAAAAGAGCAGAATATGCTGACGACAAATACTACCTCGTTGATATTGTCACCACCCTCAACAAAGTTAGAATCATCTGAAGTTTATCAGTCCCCACTGACTGATGATAGTTTGATGTCCAGTGGTATTGTGACTTCAGTTATTACGCCTAGTAACAATACAATGAATAATGATGGTGATATGGTTGACGAAAGTGACGTAAAAAAAAACTCACTTGAACAATATGCTGATGAAAATGTTGCTCCCGGTGTTATTGAAGAGATATCAAGTCATCAGCGAGTTAGCGTCCTTCAACTGCCTGTTCCTATTTCAACATCATCATCACCATTGCCACCGTTATATCCTTCACATTCAATTGGATCATCATCATCATCATCTCTACAACACCATCAATCATCACCATAGTTACATCCTCCTCATCTGAATCAGATAATTGTCAAACTCATCGATTGAGTACAATTTATGAAGATACAGAACCTTCATCTTCTACAACTTCTTCATTGAAATCTGAAAAGACGGCACTCTTGTTGAATCTCCAATTAAAACTGAAAGTGTAGTAACATCTACATCAATAACAATAACACCCCCACCCCCAGCACCACCACAAGAACAACCAGAGAATACGTCATCAACTACACTTAACTGTCCTGTTAATGATACTGATCTCGCTAATCATTCACATTCAACATCCTCTCTTCTATTACGTGCTGCAACTGAAGCAATAGCAAAAAGTACATTAGATTCACCAAGTTCCCCTGGTTTATTAATATTTCCACCAAGACGTTCATCTACACCGATAGAACATAGTCCAGTTTATATAAATCAATCGATAGAAATCGATAAGTCAATAAATAATAATCGTGTATCATCATCGGATAATTTAGCATCTATGTCTACTATTACGACTACTACTATTACTACAATTAGTGAGGATAAGAGTACTGTCATTAAATCGGTAACTAAATCAATACCAAGTACAGAGTCATGTGTTGTCAATTTTAATCGTAAACATTTAAATTCAAAAACAACAATAACAACATCAACGATTACATCATCACCATCAACTCGACCTATGGCAACTATATTTGGACAAGTACGTAATCGTAATACAAGTAGTGTGAAGTATTCTGCCAACAGTGGATTGCATAATATACCACACACTTCTATGAGTACCACGACCACGACTAGTACCAGTCTCTTGTTGAATAATACCTCAGAGATTGCATCAACTCGTAAATCACCTGGGAAGTCAAAACATGCAACTATCACATCGACAGCATCGAATATTTGGAATAATTCCACTCCTACTAGTACAACAACAACTGCAACTATGGATACTTTAAAGGATGCATCTTTAAAGCCTATTGGTCGAATAAATGCTTCACACTATGATGATAGTATTGATCGTAATAACAATAATAGTAATAAGAAATGTACTGATCCAAGTAAAATTTATACTTTCACTGGGGAATCTTCGCCTACATATAATCTAACCAATTGTGATGATAATACAACTTCATCACCGTTATCACTGACGTCATCTCCACGAAATACCTATCCCCTCCCATCTTCTTCTTCATCTACTTCTTCTGATCTAAAGTATGCCAATGTCAATAGTTCAAAGAGTTCACGATCAAGTAAACATTATAATTATTCAGGATATCGTAATCATGATTCACTGAAGAGTTCAACAATATCATCTACGCCAACCCCACCGCCACCCTTATCATCAATAACACAACCAGTATCATCCTTCCCGTTATCATTTTCAACCGCATACATCAATAATAATAATAATAAAAAACCCTTCAACAATCCTATTTAAATATGTCTACATTTCCGCCATCTGATGATATGTTGTATTTAATCAATAAACAAGGTTGTTGTAATGTCGGAGACACTGAAATGACAGCATCAGGAACAACAACAATGATGCCGACAAGTCTCAGTACTTCTACTCAGAATAGTTTTAATTATATGCCAAACGGTAATACTAGTAACAATGTAGGTCAATGTAATACAGAGGCAGCAGCGTTAGCGGCAGCTACATGTCTACAACAATTACAAATCCAATTTATGCAATATAGTACAAATCCATTAGCTATGGCAGCAGCATTATCTGCACTGAGTAGTGGTGGCGGTGCTTGTGGTGGTGGATTCCCAACAAATACTCCTCACCTCCCGCAACCAAATATGAATTGTCCACCAGTTCGGTTTAATTCTACCAATTCTGATGTGAATACAAACACTCCGTGTAGTACTAGTAATAGTGTGGCGGGGATGCTGCCTACAAACTTTGATTGGTCAACATCGACAACTCCTTTCTTTCCGACTGCCCTGAATTCAATCGATTCAAATTTACCAATGATATTTCCAAATGAATCGAATTTCCTGCTGCCTAATAATAATAATAATAATTCAACGCCTGGACAATTATTACATCCTATGGATGGATATAGTATGATGATGATGACGATGAATGCTTTGAAGCCCAATGTTATCACATCATTGGCAGGAACTGCTGCCCTACCCGGAAGATGTGACTATTACCAGCCTGTGGACAATTGTTGTGTAAATACTATTGGGGATACAGTTGGATTAGTCTCGGAATCTTCGGATCTTCCAATTGATTTATCTGCAAAACGGTGATACTCAGTGGGTCGGGGGTGTTCTGTTTGACGTGTGAGGATGTTTGTGTGTGGGCGTGTGACTACCAAGTGCTTTCATTGTACATATTTTTAATAACATTCATACATACATACGTACAAACGCAGGCATTAATTCCAATTTGTAAGGTGCTCATGATTCCATATTTGAGATTGATTTTACATATTTATTTATATATACATTTATGAGAATATATATATATATTATATATATATATATGCATATACTATATTTCATCGATTTTTATCGATTTTTTTTCTAGTTATCTATTATCGTGGTTTTTTTCTCTTGTAAATACTTTTTTCCTATTGATTGATCCCTTTTTACCTTATATTATTTGCACACATCCATATCTCCTCTGTCTCTCTATCGTATTGTTTTCGTTCACGTCATTTATCATGACTGGTAGTAAATTTATCGACGTGTGATAAGATGAGAAGATGATACCTCATTTATTCACCTAATTTATTGATTTTTTCCTCACAAATTTGACTTTTTATTTCGAATTTAGTCTTTATATAAGTTGCTATCAAACTTCTTTCTTTGTTGTTGATACTTTCGTTTTCATTTGGTTCTTTTTTCCAGTTTCTCTTTCCCACACATACACAAATATATATATATACAGAGTATTTGCACATATTTATGACGTAATCATTACTATTATTCTTTATAAAGACAGTATGTAATAAATACATCTGCCATATATATGCACATATATTGATATTGTATTGATTTTAAGCAAGAATTAAAATAAAGAACAAAGAGTACTATCTATTGATCAATTTATCGATTTTTTTATAATAGTGTATATATTTTTAGTTATTCATGTCTATTTTGTATAGTTAGCTACCCTGATGAGGGAGAGAGAGAGTGTGTGTGTGGGGGTATGATATACACCATTATAGTAGGAAGGTGGGGGTGGTTAGAAGCATGACTATTACAAAATCGTACTTGATAAAGTGTATAAGAGTATAGCAGTTAGATAGTTAAGATTGATTCATGTAATGGACTCATAATTCAGATTAATAGTAGCCACCTGTGAACTCTTTCCATATCAAGATTAATGACAGTTCAATGAATTAGAAGGGTGTCTGTCCGTATGTTGAAGATTTCCGCATACATTTATTCATCTGTAAACTGTGATCTACTCTGCATAAATGCCTGGATCTTTTCTTATAATCATGCTAATTAACTATGTGTGACGATCAAGTTCTCAGACCTTTGAGTGTAGTGGAGAGTTGTTGGTTATAGGTGATCGCTTGTGAACTCTGATCCTCAGCATATATATGAAATCCCCGAAGGACAAATATCAGTCACTGCTAGTGAAATACACAGTTATGAGGATTGCCAAATAACTGGGACTTAACTTCTTGTCAATTGCCTTAAAAAAAGCTATTTTACATAAATACCTCACTTTATCGATTTAAATAAGAAAATTCGATTATAATCTGTTCTTAGAGACGTTCATCTGATTCTAACAGCATTTTTGAGGTGTATTAAATTGGATGAACCCTGAAGTTTGAAACATAGCGATAGGATTGCATCTATGCTATTGAAAAGGATTTTCAGCTTTATTAAGAACAATCTATTTTGGTACACGTCGGATGGAGTTACCTTCCCTCGAGTGATATACAGTGTAGTTATTGGGAGGAATTGTTGCGAAGTAGGGGACTTTTGGGCATGTCTTTTGAGGCGAGTTCGACTATCAGACGTTCCAAATGATTTTTCATGATTGTGTTCTAATTCAGATTTTCGTTAGACCTCGGTAGCAATGATGATTACCGATGAAACTCTCTCTACATCTCCAACGTTTGTATATGTTGTGGTTAGTGAAATTTATCCGGTGTTGGAAATTTCATGACCCAATGAGCTTCAACCTACTTGGCCCACTTTGTTCAACGTATAAAAGCAAAATAATAGAGATATTCAACGGAATAATTTTGATTGAACACTAGTCAGTTTGTGACTGGTGTAATGTGTATGTCAGTCAGTCATGTTTCTAACGTGGTCACCATCCCACTAGATGTCTCGTCATCATAATGCACTGAGCTGTGAATTGTTGATGTAAGATGATTGGAGGCAATCGACCTCAGAAAGCCCTACACCACCTAGATTTCGTGCTAGTTGGCATTCGCCAGTCAGTAGTCAGCAAGGCGTATCTAAAGTCATGAGAGAACACTAGTTGTTATCAAGTGTCCATTCAGAGTTCACGAATAGCTCAGTGATCACGTCTCTAACTTCATGCGACATTGGATGACGTGAGTTCGAGTCTCACAAGGGACAAGATTTCCTTGAAGGTTATAGATACGCCTCAGTGAAGAGAGCCAAAAAGTACGAAACGGAAGTCGAGATCTTTCTGCCAATCACCTCCAACCATCTAATATCAAAAATTTACAGTTCAGTATATCATGATTGTAAGCCATCTAGTGGCATGTTGGCCAAATTGCAAACTTGACTAATAGAACTCAGTCTGCACATTACACCAGTTACTGACTAGTTTTCAGCACACTCCTACAGGATGTCAGTTGCTAGTCCGAATAGCTGCTCAGTGGTAACACATATCTGAATTTAGGCGACATTGGGTGGTGACGCGGGTTCGAATTCCAGACAGGGAACACAAATTCTTTTCTCACGGTTGTAGATAAGCCTTACTGACTGGCTGGTGTGAGTGCCAACTAGAACAAAACCTAGGTCAAATGAGGTAGGGCCCACCGTGGCCGATTGCCTCCAACCATCTAATAACAAGGACTCAGAAGAACTATTAAAAGATGAAATATGAATGTTGAAAAAATAGTAACGTGAACGAAAACATGAGGGTCTCATGAATAAGAAGTGATCACAATGAGTGAATACATCATCTACGCCTTCTGACAACAATTTTGAACTATCACGGACTGACTGACTGACTGAAACCATTTAGGAAATACTACATGGACTCCTGATGGACAATTTCATGTGTAGAAATGTATACCCTTTAATATCTTCTATCCAATTGTTCAATAAACTATTGCAGTCCGCTCTATATTAGTGCCTTCCACTCATGCTTTTCACCTAGTGATCAAGATGATAAGGCCTGTCATTGTGTATTATTATTATTTCCTTAAATTCCTAAAGGAACATAGGGCTTGAGCCACACACTCCTTCAGTGTACGGTTGTTTCTCTCCGTTAGGCCATTCGTTTGTGGATGATATGGGTCGTTCTCATCCTCTTGATACCCAGCTGTTGGAAACGGGAAGTAAATTCTTCACTCTCGAAACAGGGACCTTGGTCTGTCAGTATTGTCTTTGGTACGCCGTGGTCTGCAACGATGTGTCTAACGACTGCATCTGTCACGGTCTTTGCACGTTGGTCTGGGGTCGCTACGGCGTCTACCCATCGTGTCACGTGTTCCGTCATCACCAAGAGGTACTGATTACCATTGGATGTCTGAGGAAATGGACCCATGACATCTACGGACCACAAGTCACCTATCGCCGTAACTGTAGTCGACTGAAGCGGTGGTCGTATGCACCGGTCGCCTTTCATTAGCTGGCACCGTGGACATCCAAGTACGTATCTTGCTACGTCTTCTCTCATACCTGGCCAATACATGCTTTGTCTTAGGAGGTCGGTTGTTCTGGCCACGCCTGTATGTGCTAGCTGGTGACATTCTTCTATCATGTCGTGGCACGACGATCGAGGTATGACCGCCAGTCAGCTTCCGTCGTTCTCTCGCCAGGTCAGAGTCCCGTAGGCGAAAGTTTTCACCTGGCTCCTGGTCTGACATCCGCATGCTTTCATCTCCTCTTTCTTCACATGACCTACTCCAAGTCACCCTTGCACTCACGACCAACTCGCCGCCTCCTTTTTGGGTTCCACTCCAGGGTTTGTCTAGTGGTGTCACTTGATGGTTTCCTCAGAGTATGGCCAATCCATGTCCATTTCTTCCTGCCTATTTTTCGCCCAATCGGATGCTGGTTAGTTCGCTCCCAGAGATCCCTCCATGTTGCTGACCTTTTCTGGCCATCTGATTGAGTGAAGACAGCTGTTAATGTGGGTCTGTAGTTTGTTTGAGTAGACATTGAATTCGATTAGTGTTAAGCGTTGGTTGGTTGTAGGTGATCTCTGGAAGACATTGGTTTAAGAGCATCTCTAAATCTAGAATGAATTGATATCACGGCGGAAATGCCCTTTGGATTACTAATAAAAATGGTCAGTTGCACAAAAAATTGTTTCAACAAAACCGTATGTTTTGATTTGACACTAGTAACTAGTGTGATGTGTCTAGTCTTTTCTTCGCTGCAGACTGAATTCTCTCAGTCAGGTTTGTAATGTGGTCATAATTCTAGGCAGCTTGCCATCACCGTGAACATTGATTTGATGATAATAGATGGTTGGAGGCAATCGGCCACAGGAAATCCTACCTGACGTAGGTTTCGTGCTAGTTACCACTCACCAGTTAGTCAGAAAGGTGTATCTGCAACCAGGTTGAAGGAACTCACGGCCCTTCTGAGATTCCAACCCGCGTCACCCAGTGCTGTAGTCAGTCAGAGATGTTACCAATGTGCACCGTGATGGTGCGCTACCTAGAATGGTGGCCACATTCCAACCTGACTGGATAGAATTCCGTCTGCACCAAAGAGAGGACTAGACACATCACACTAGTTACTAGTGTCAAATCAAAATATCCACTACAGTCCTACAGGAGGTCAATTGCGAGCTCGAACAGCTCAGTCGCAACGTCTCTGACTGACTACAGCACTGGGTGACGCGGGTTCGAATCTCAGAAGGGACATGAGTTCCTTCAACCTGGTTGCATATATGCCTTGCTGACGAGTGCCAACTAGCACGAAACCTAGGTCCATGGCTTCCTGCCGATTACCTCCAACCATCTAAAGTCATGAAAACCGGCTGTGTTGAGAAATCGTTGCCCAATTAGTAAAAAACCGGATTGGTATTGTAAAATTATGTAAAATTATGTTCAAGTCGTCACACTGAAGAG